CTCTCTCTCTCTCTCTCTCTCTCTCTCTCTCTCTCTCTCTCTCTCTCTCTCTGTGTGTGTGTGTGTGTGTAATATCAGCTCAAGGAATAAACAATTCAGAGAAACATTTTTTGCAGGAAGCTCATCCATAATGTTTGCAGCAGTTTTGCAAAACTAGGAATATCTCCCATATCTCTTTGCAGATGAACAACATGGCATGGAATATAACTAATCCTGCTTTTTCAATTTAGTATCCTCCAGATATTTTGGGATTATAACTCCCAGAATGACAACTCCCAGCTAGCACATTCATACTTTTTCTGAGAATTATTGTCCCAATACATCAAGAGGGCAACAGATGGTAAAAGGTTAAATTATAATCACTGAAAGTTCTGTGATCTAGGCTCTCAAATAAAAGTATTCTACTGCAGAGTATGCAGTCAAGCTACACACATGCATGCTCACATACTCATGCACTTTATTATATTGTACAGAAAAACACTTGGAAAATGTGAGTCATCAACATTTCAAAATTATTATTTTTTACTTTACATTCACTAAATAAATCAAGTAAATTTACTTTAACAATAAAGAAAAGATTTCGAATAAGTCAGGGATCATGCATTATAATTAATACACTATGCTTTGCATAACATACTAAGCTGAAATCAATCAAATGTTATAGCATTTATGATAATTATAGTGGCTCAGTGGCTTGTTGATCAGAATGTCGGCAATTCAGCGGTTTGAATCCCTAGTGCCGTGTAATGGAGTGAGCTCATGTTACTCGACCCAGCTTCTGCCAACCTAGCAGTTTGAAAGCAGGTATAAAATGCAAGTAGAAAAATAGGGACACCTTTGGTGGGAAGGTAACATCATTCTGTGCACCTTAAGCATTTAGTCATGCCGGCCACATGACCACAGAGACATCTTTGGACAGCACTGGCTCTTCGGCTTTGAAACGGAGATGAGTACTGCCCCCTAGAGTCGGAAATGATTAGCACATATGTGCGAGGGGAACCTTTACCTTTAATCAAACAATAATTAAGATTCCTCTGCCATTTGTAAAAAATCCTGCTTACAATGTTAGGATCTCCAGAAATTTCAAATGATCTTGGCTGTTCAAGAACCTTCCTCTTCTAGCAGTAAAGTAGCTGGGAGTGAGTGAGAAAGTGGCAGGAACAAAATATGAACGTTGTATGCTTAAAACACGCAATACAGGTAGTCCTTGACTTACAACAGTTCATTTAGTGAACTGTTCAAAGTTACAACAGCACTAAAAAAAATTGATATGAGCATTTTTCACAGTTCCGACCTTTGCAACATCCCCATGATCCTGTGGTCAAAATTCAGATACTTGGCAACTGGTTCACATTTATGAGCATTGCTGTGTCCTAAGGTCATGTGATCACCTTTTGCAATCTTCTGACAAGCAAAGTCAATGGGGAAGCCAGTTTCACTTAACAACCAGTTACTAATTTATCAACTCCTATGATTCACTTAACAACTGGATTTGGATTTGGATTTATTGCATTTATATATGCCGCCCTATTCCCGGAGGGACTCAGGGCGGCTNCCTGGAGGCACTTTGGAAGCCGGAAATGGCCCATTTTCTGACTTCCAGTGGGACTGGTAGGTCCGTTTTTCACCGTTTTTCGTATAGGGTATATAGGCATTTGGTACTCATAAGCAATTATATTTGCATGCAGATCTTTTAAGAATATTGTCTTCGTGCCCCCCAGGGTTTATTTCCTTCAACTTAACATATGAGATAATTTCGAAGGGCATCTAAATGATTCACAAAGCTCATGTATCACCATTGTCCAGTAAACTTTAAAGTAAATTAAGGAATTAAAATCTGGTTTACTTTTACTTCCAGCTCAGTACAGTCAGGTGGTAACACACTAGGATAGCATTATATAAATAAGTCAGGATAGCCACTGATGGATTATGGAAATGAAGGGATAACCTCTTAGACACAGAGGAATTGGCAGTAACCCTTGCTCATCTCCTCCCCTCCTCCATTCCTGCTGTTAGATAATGGACTTTATTTAAAGAGCATCAAATCCTAGGCATGCTTACAGGGCATCCCAAAGTCCAGTTAAGCTCGGCATCCAAATATCTCAAAACAACACAGCAGGACTGAAATAGATTCCTGACTCAGTTTTTCTCTTCATCAGCCTTTCACTAGAGCTACACAAGGCAGTATGAATCGAACACTTCTTATCATCACTTAATCATTTTGTCATATGTAACAGTCAGAGTGATTAAAACATAGATTCATTCTTAGACTTTCTAGGACATGTTTATGAATGAGACAGAGTTTCTAATCCAGAACGTGTATTCGAATGCCCCACAAAATCTGATAAGTAATCCCTGAATCCATGTCTAGGGATTAAAGTATAACTGCAAAAGGCCACGATTTCTCTTCTCTCTTCTGCTAACATATGTAATACCATATCCAAAATCTACTGATGAAACGATAAAAAAACAAATCTTGTTTTCAAGTCCGACTTTACCCTGGATAACTTAAATGGATGTAGCCATGCAATTTACATGGCATGGAATCATGCTGTGTCTAGTCTAATAAACAGAAGTATTAGGGATGATATAGTAGCCAGTACTTTAGGGACAGAGAAAAACAAAGGAGAAATTTCCTGACAGAATAATTAATCCTTGGAACAGCTTACTGGAAGTTAGGTGCTCCATCACTGGAGGTTTTCAAGGAGAGACTGATGATACTGGCAATCATTTGTCCAGAATGACACAGAGTCTGCTTCTTGAGCAGGGGGTTGGACGAGAAGGCCTCCAAGGTCCCTTCCAACCCTATTATTATTCTGTATTCTAAAGCACATTCACCAAACGTGGAAAAGAGAAGCCACTCCAGAAGGGAGAGCACATTTCCAATTATTGTGATCAAGTTTACCATTGGCAATAGCACTTACGGTATATATCGCTTCATAGTGCTTTACAGTCCTCTCTAAGCGGTTTACAGATTCAGCATATTGCTCCCAACAATCTGGCTGAGTCGTCTTTGAGCCTGGTGAGATTTGAACTTTAATTTCCCAGATCTGCCCTGCACCTTGGAGTTTGCAAATGATCTCTCAGCCACTTAATATTTTGACCCTGTTATCTTTCTAGATCAGCCAGAATCAACTAAATCCTACCAATCTAACTGGTTTGGTGAAGACAGCACAGCTGGCTGCTGTATAAAGAGGTAAGTGATTATGTAGACGAATGAATGACTATCTCATCATTCTGGAGGTTATATGGAGGTTTCTCTGCACTGTTTTTCTCTCATAGCAACAATCCCTCTGTGAAAAGGATGGTCGCTTCCATGACTGGGAATATACCTGAACCTGGTTCTTGGTGGTCTTATTTGTACCACTATGGTTTCAAAGCAGTAGGAAGCAATGCCGCTCAACCCAGATTTTGAAGCAGCTTTGATAAACATATTTCTCACTACAGCAAGAGAGATAATTATAAAACAAAATGTACTTTGGAAACCTTTATGAAAATCTGTAATAACCATTACTTGGTCTTATCAGTGCCCAGAATCTCAAGAAGCCAATAAAGTAAATAAGTGGTAAAAAGGAAAATACTTTACCCCGCTTTAC